TTTTCACTTCGTGATACATGTAAATCATTTCCGATTTATATGTTCGTTTCCCGTGATTTATAATTTACTATTTTACACTACCAAGGAAACGTTGTTGCAAAAATAATGTAAGTGTAACTGAAACATTAATAGTAGACATACATTTTATTTGATCTTTTTTTTCTATTCGCACTTATAGGAATTACCACCATCACCATCACCATCACCATCACCATCACCATCACCATCACCATCACCATCACCATCACCATCACCATCACCATCAACATCACCACCATCCTTGCCACCATCACTACTTGCATCATCACCAGCATCACTGCCAGTATCATCACCATATAATTTATAATATAATTATATTTCAAGATAAAATATTAATTTTTATTTTATTTTATATATATAGGCACAATGTGCAAAATGCATATTCCATTGTCCACTAACTTAAATTAATAATTAGATAAATCAGTTATAAAGACAGAAATAAGAACAATGTGAATAATAATAATAATAATAATAAATATAGTAATTATTAGTTGCTTAATTCTAAATAGTCATTGCGAATATGTGGAATTCGATTAACGTTGCCCAAGTGGTTTATTTATTTAACTTAACTACAGTGAACCCTCCATAAGTGCACCCTCTCGGGAATGGATGAGAGCATGCATTTATGTAGTGATGCATTTATAGAGGGTAAGAATTTTTTTTTGTGTCTGTTAAGTGAGGTCTGATAAGTTTATTTATGTTAATGATTTTCAAGATACATAATTATGTATATATGGGACATGTCACAGCAAAAACCACCTCTGAGACTTGTAGATCATTTTGCGGTATCACCTTATTCAACTACGTTACACACTATTTAAACATATAAAAAAGAAATTCTTTGTCACCCAGTTCTCTTTTTTTTATTATGTAAATAGGGTTTAATATTTTCACCAATTATAATACTTATGTTATAGTTTATTATTATGCAAAAAAATCAATTTTGGTTAGAAAGTCCCAGAGGTGGTTTTTGCTGTGACATGTCCCATATATCTTTACACTATATTAGAACAAAATGAACCTAACTCAATCTAAATTATGGATTCGTATTTTTAGACCGCAACCTACCACTGCATGTGAATTATACATGGGGTGGTCCAGACCTAATGTCCCAGGATAACCCCACAACTACTCTCCATACTCATCCCCTTTTCTATATAATTTTTTATTATACTAATATTATTTACACTCTGATTACTAGCATTATTTCTATTATTGGTATTTTTACAATTATCAATAACACCACTAGTACTTGTGTTATTAATTAATTTTGTTTTATAATTAATATTCCTATTTCCTTCTCCCACTTTATCACCCCATTGCATCTCTCTATCCAGGTTTTTTTTCTAGTTGCTGTTATTAATATTTTTTTTTTCCAACTAACCTTCTTACTGTTATGGCTGTTTATGTTCAATTCTTCAATGGCTTTACTCAGGCTTCTTGGGACCAGCCCCTTGAGTATATGTTTCAATTTTATTTATTTTTGTTAGATTCAGTATTATTTTTCCCATCCATCATCACTATATATATACATATACCAAAATTAGTGTACAAAGCATCAGATACAGTAATCATAAATCATCATCAAATGTAAGTAAATTGACAAAATCTATCATTTTGTTTTAATAAAGAATTGTTTGAGGGTGTTTTAGAATTCATCAGTTATGAATCAACAATTCATGATAAATGATATTCATCTATTACAAACTAAGGTTTGAATTTTTTTCACTTTTGAATTAATCATAATAATAGTATTGAAGAATCCTACAAACCCAATTCTTTGTTTCATCTAGAGTGAATAATTAATCATAAAGTTTATTTTCCTTCCAAGTATTTTTACTTTTATTAGGTAATAATGTATCATCATGATGCTTTCTTTTTTTAACATTTATTATTTTACTTTCTTCTTGGTAAATTTCATAAATAATCCTTTCTTTCCTTAGATAAGCTTCCAGTGTTTGAGTTCATTTATTTTGAAAATATAAGGAGCAATTTTTTCACCCTGTTCTTTCTTCAAAATACTTCTAATGGTGCTATTGCGAGTGTGCAATCTGAGTTTCCTATTTAATAGGTTATTTATAGCTCAACACACAGCCTACTCGCTGACTTACGGTCAAAGATTAATAATAAAAATAACTTTTATCTTCCTGGATAAAAGGGTCC